GAGAAAACCCACGAGGTTGGACAGGCGACCCTACTCCTTGTCACGTACAACCGGGGATTCGAAACCACGCCAGTCGACTCAATGACAGACTTTATGATACAGCGCGCGCACGCTAACCATTCAGCCATCCAACGAGGTTGGACAGGCGACCCTACTCCTTGTCACGTACAACCGGGGATTCGAAACCACGCCAGTCGACTCAATGACAGACTTTATGATACAGCGCGCGCACGCTAACCATTCAGCCATCCAACCCCCCCCCCCCCCCCGATTTATAAATGACTATAGTAAATATTTTCAAAGTTTAATTCTTGACTATAGTAAATAGTGTGATGTTTAATATATTTTACACTTTAATTCTCGACTATAGTAAATATTGTCATTTTTAATATATTTTATTGACTTTAATTATTGACTATAGTCAAAGGTGGTCACCTTTTCCAGGATAGCGAACACTATCTTTTACACTGTCCAAACTTCAATACTTTTCGACGAAAAAACATTTCTACATTACCTGATGAGTATAACAACAGCAAAACTCTACTCTACGGCTTGCATGACCCCACAAACGAAATTAATAACCTTATCTTTACAACAGTTCAATCATACTTCAATTTAACTAAACGATTTTAAACTATTATTGTTGTTGTTATTATTATTAACATTATTATTATTATTACATACTATAATACTTTAGGTGTATTCAACTAAGTAAGGGTTGTATATATTGTATATACTGCTTTTCATTATTAGTATATAATTTGTATTGTAAATAGGGATAGGGGTCTGACATAGGCATTTTGCCTGTTCCCCAATTTCCCATTCATTTATAGTGAATAAAATATGTTTATAAAAAAAAAATTATTGACTATAGTAAATAATATTGTCATTTTTAATATAATATAATTGACTTTTGTAAATATTTATTAATACATTTTATACTTTAATTCTTGACTTTTGTAAATATTGTCATGTTTAATTCATTTTATACTTGACCTTTGTAAATATTGTCATATTATATTTTATACTGTAATTCTTGTCATGTTTAATATATTTCATCTTTAATTTTTGACATATAGTAAACGTTGCCATGTTTAATATATTCTATACTTTAATTCTTGACTATGGTAAATGTTGCCATGTTTAATATATTAATACTTTAATTCTTGACTATAGTAAATATTGCCATGATTAATATATTTTATACGACCATAACAATATTACGGAAGCGTATAGGGGTCATGCAAAATTTTGTAGAAGACCTCGAGATCCTGCGACCCTGTGATACTTTCTCGAGATCACAATTTAATGTTCTCGAAATCCCCTAATAATTTTCTCGAGAATCTCCCATCCTGTGTTAACGATCTCGAGAATTCGAGTTAATGTTCTCGGGATCTTGCCATCCTGTGTAAATGTTCTTGAGATCTCGGATATTTTTATGTGTGCGCGTAGTTTTAACGTATTTTCAGCGCCCTACAACCTGTCGTTTCGGAGTCCCCCCCCCCCCAACACACACACTTTCCCGAAAACCTTAATAGCACGTTAGAGCCTACAGTTTTTAACGGATTTGTTTCAAATTCAGTGTAAAGCATTGGGGCCATGAGAGGACGGTCCCTGTCGCTTCTAGCGCACCTTATCGTTCTGGAGTTATTCCCCTTATCCGAAAAACTTGTTAACGCAATAGAGGCTACAGTTTTTAACTGATTTTGTTTTTCAAATGTGGTGTGAAGCACTAGGACCTTTCGATTTTCAGTACTCCGAAAACTTCTGTTCGAGAGTTACCCTCTTTGTATTTCTTTCAAATATGTGACGATGAGAGGACGAACTCTATCGATATTCAGCATTCTGTGACCTTCTGTTCCTTAATATAGCCCCTCCCCGCCCGCTCCCCGAAAGCCTTGTTCACGCCATAGAGGCTTCACTTTTAAAATTTTGTGTGAAGCTTTGGGGTCATGAATTTTATTGATATTCAATGGTTAGCGATCTTCCGTTCCGAAGTTATACTCTCCATTCTTTGAAAACTTTGTTTTTAACGGATTTTCGAAATTCAGTGTTCAGCGACAAGGATGACCCCTGTTAATTTTCAGCAATATAAGATTTTCTGTCCCAGAGATATAACAAACACGTGGACACGATAAAGATTAGATTTCTTGAAGAATCCTAGATCCTTATTCAATTTATTAAACAACCAAGTTTTCCTTTCGAATAATCTGCTGTTGAGACATAGATGTTACGTGGGCGTATCTCCACACTTTGCGTGGCTATCGTTCAAATTTCTTTTGAATCATTAGTGTCATAAGCAGAGGAACCCCCATTAATCTGGTCTGCCCTCTGTTTGCCCCCCGAAAAATTTTAGAAAATAAAAAAAAGTATTTGTGATACGTTTCGGTAATCAATACCTTCTACGGTGAATAAATCCCACATCCCCACTCAGTCATAAACTTGCATGTTGTAGAGCATTACCGACAGTCTATTTTTCAAAATTTTCTTGGCGAGGTCCCCAATGGACTCGCTACTTTGGCGCTCATAAGGGGAATTCGTTGAGGTTCGCAAGTCCGTTCGTTTGACATTTTGTTCTCTAGTCGGATAAATTAGTGATCAGGCGACGAACGGTATCTGGGCAGATCTATTTATCTCGACGATCGGTGCCTGACAGAATATTGTCAGACAACATTTCCGGCATTAGGACTCCCTACTTTGACGCTCGTGAGTGGGCTTCGTCGTGATTCGCAAGTCCGTTCGTTCGACACTTTACCTCATCGATCAGTGCCTGAAATACTGCCAGGCTGCATTTTCGGCAACCTGTTTTTCAAAATTTTCTGGGGGAGGCCCCCTACCCCTAGTTGAAGCTCGTGCCTTTGCCCCCTTAACCTTGGACTTTGCCCCAGCTTTGCCCCTCCAATCACCGACGGCTGGCGCCGCCACTGGTTAGAGCCCAGAGTTTTTCAAGATTTTTGATTTAAAACCAGCTCCGAAGCATTTGTGCCTCAAGACAATAAACTCTGTATCTAGCTTTATTCTAAAACAAAATATGGTCTGAAAACCATGCAAAACATGACATTTTCTATTAAACGTCGCCCAAACATTAAATTGAAATAATTTAACAAGCATGTCTGTAATTCAAAGCTAACGCGGTAGGCTTTCGAATTTCATATTTGGTGTGAAGTATTTGGGCCATAAGACGATGAATCCTATCGATTTTAATCATATTTCAAATTTAGTGTAAATCATGGGTACCCTATCGATTGTCCGTTTATTCTTTCATTAGTTAGCAGTTTTCCTTCGTAACAAATGTTAGAGTATTTTTTTTATCAAATTTGGTGCGAAGTATTTGGCCAATGGTTACATCACAACGTGGAGACACTATCATATAAGGTTTCATATTTACACAGGATGTCAATATCTCGAGAATATTAACTGAGGATCTCGAGAAAATTTACACAGGATGTCAATATCTCAGGAAAATTATCAGGGGATTTCGAGAACATTAAATTGAGATCTCGAGAAAATTACCAGGTGATCACGGGATTTCGAGAAAGTATCACAGGGTCGCAGGATCTCGAGACCTTCTACAAAATTTTGCATGACCCCTATACGCTTCCGTATATACGCTTCCGTACAATATTGTCATGTTTAATATATTTTATACGACCAGAACAATATTGTCATGTTTAATATATTTTATACGACTATAACAATAATTGTCATGTTTAATATATTTTTAAGATCATGTCAATATTGTCATGTTTAATATAATATACCACTATAATACTGTTCGCATGTTTAAAAGTTTAATATATTTATAAACTCGGTTGTCATGTTAACTGTATTTATAGACTTCGTCATGGACTAAAATAAATATTGTCATGTTTAATTTTTCATAGACTCCGTTATGGACTGTAATAAATGTTGTCATGTATAACATATAGTTCTACTGTTATAAACAACACCTCGCGTAGGCCCTTGGCGATTTTCAAGCCTGATTCAACCTATTTTTTTGCAGGGTGGGGTTGGACACAGAGTTGAGAAAATTAGATTAGGATGCCTTCAAAAATCCAAATCTCTATCGTGTTCACAAGCTTTTCCGGACACATAATATATCTGGATCAGAAAGTCCTAAAATGAGAAAAAATCAACAGGGTTCATCCTCTTCGATCCCGATGCTTCACAATGTTCTTATGCTTCGCACACGCAATTTGAAACAAATATCTGTTAAAATGCTTCACATTAAATTACAAGAATATAATTTAATAATTTAGTTGAATATATTTTGGTTAAATTTCTTTTTTTATTCAGACGCTTATACAGTTATGTCGGTAAATGGTTTTTTATGTATTCTCTGTAAGGGTCTATAGCCCTAGCGTTAATCCACCACTGGGTGTCCGATGACAGGGCAAAATCTCCCTTAAAGCATACAACATAGTATCCCGTCTTTATGAGCCTGGTTAAACCAATTTCATTTCATCATGTCTCTCCAGCATCGTCTTTGGAAACGCACTACTTTTATAAATGGGCGATTGTAAATCTAGTTTGAGAAGTTTACTTTAATCTCTGAATGTAAAAACATCAAATCACGACAAACAATAAACGGTGTGAATGATGTTCAAATCTCGACATCACTTGTTTTTGTAGGCTCTTTTATAACATGGAAGCCGTGGCGGCTCGGTGAGTAAGGCGCTGACTCGCTAACGGGGACGTTTTGGGTTCACTCCCAGTCTTGGTCGAGAACGTCTGTCGGGGAATTCTAGCATGGCTTCCCCGGCTTGTCAGTGGTGCAAGACGGGGGCTAACAAGCAACAGTGTCTGTCGCTCGGGTGAGATGAAAAACTGAGGTCGCCTGCGTGTACACATTGGTCTGCATGTAAAAGTATCCATAACAGTAGGCCGTAGCGCCGTTGTACGGGCAAAAACGTCCGTCATAGAAGACTGCATGGGTATACCAGTCTTCATTAACCCAGTTGGTGAAGAGACGTAGGACATCAAAACAAAATTCATCACTTTTATAACGTCTTTTATAAAAACTTCAAAAATTATAAAATGGTTAGAAAAATAACATTTTTATAAAACTCTAAATGAATGTGAAATAAATAAAAAATATTACACACCCATCTCAAACAATGTCATGATAAAGTATGTCCTAAATAACCAACTTCTTGAAAGTAAACAAAATATTTACACTATTTCCCCATAAGGCCGTTATCAAAAAATTAATTAAGCAAAACAGAGCATAAAAACTTTGCTCACACTACAAATTAATACAATATTTAGGCAACAATAGGCAGGATTTATAAATGGGATTGAATAGTATTATTAAAGGGACGTTATGTATGATTAGATAAAGAGCTAACAGTTGTCAATATAATAGTTAAAATACATGAATAGATAATGAAAAGGAAATATGTTGAAAATTTCAGTCAAATTACTTCATTCTGAGCCGAGTTATTGTCGTTACAAGAACAGTGTAGCATCAATTGTCATTGCTACATCATCCATTTTTACGTAAAGTTCTTGACCTCAAATCTTTTTAAAATCTGTTGAGTATCAAGGGTTGATTATGGTCTTGGTAAATTCATTAATGTCTAGTTAATAATTGAGATAACGCTTATGGCATAAAGAAAGACCTACAATAGGCAGATTTGACTCATGCATATTAAGACATTTTTAATATAAACAAGTAATAAAAATGAAACAACGATAAAGGCCTACACACACCAAGGTTTTTTGTTGGCCAAGAACATCAGCGACGAATAATCATTTTCTGACAAGTTTGTTTAAAGGAACGGTTGCAGAAATATATTAGTTAAAAAACACTGGTTAATTTGGACTGAAAGTCTCTTGGTAAAGATGAATTATGCAAGAGCTAAAATATGCCTACAGCCTGTTTATCTTTTGACATCAAATGTTATATAAACTATTATTTACATATTTATTCACATGACAAGCCTATAATCAATTCTCCTCACCATCGGATGGCCAAAATTTTAACGAAATAAAACACGGTCGCCATTTAATGATTTAATTTAAAAATGGCAAGTAGAGGAAGTACCGTTGTTTGATATAAACAATCTATGTCACATCTTGTCAAAATTTCAAACTATGGTAACTTTGCTCAGAATAAAGTAATTTGAATGACATTTTCAATATATTCATTTTGCATTATCTATTTTTGAATTAAAACAGCAAGAATGATCAGTTCTTTATCTAAATCTTACATAATGCATCTTTCGTCTGGTTAATTCAGTTTGCAAGTACCTGGGTAACTTTTTATCTTATTGATATGCAACTATCCATAAATTAAACCTGTTTATCTCCCTTTGATTGAAATAAACAAAGTTTTACCCAATTAACTAGGAATGTCTAGTCATATTAGTAACACATGTTAAAGGGGGTTAATCCCGTCAAACTAAAGTATTGAACTGGGTTAATCCAAAGTGTTATATCAATTAAGGATGAAACTCTTTTTCCATCGAATCTTTGTCTACTAAATTTATTTTCGTTTCAGACTTTCAAAAAAGAAATTAACAAATCAAATTAATTTTAAACGCCATGTTTTACCCAAATCAAATAGGCCATACACTTTAAAATTAAACACACAGATATATGTGAACATATAAAATATGAATATTATGTATAATAAATTATAATAACCTTACATCACAGTATAAATATAATATGTAATTATATCTTCAGCTGTCTGGCGCACCGGGGCTTTAAGAATTACTCAAATTTGTAAATTGTTTTGGTTTCAAATGATTAAAATATGATCAATAATATGAAGGCTGTTTATACGAGACTATCATAAGATTTCATATTCAACTTTTTTAAAACCTCATGAGTATTTTTAGTGTGTAATTTTTCATATTTCATAACCTGTTTATCTACAATAATTTCTGGGTAGCAGTTTGTCCAGCCTTGAGGGCATTGTCTATAATGGTGTATTGCAGCTACTTCGGGTTTCACGTATATACTGAAATTAAATTAAGACAATTATATTACTTTATTCAAGTGAGGTGACAGAGCGGTTTAACGTGTGCGCATTAGATCATAAGGTCTGTCATTGAGTTAAGTGGCATGGTTTCGAGCCCACACTTGTACGTAAGGAGTAGGGTCGCCTGTCCAAACTCGCGGGATTTTCTCCGGGACCTCCAGTTTCATGCCAGTGCTAAAGACCCATACGCGCAAGCGAATTATTGAAATAACATTAAACCGTATGTTTGTCCCGAAATGGCCTAATTTGTGAAGAATGGTGTTAAATCTCATTTCTCTCTCTTTGGTTTAATTTCATAAATTTACTCTACATGAATATCTGTACTTTATTAAAAATAGTCCCGAAATGACCTAGTTTGTGTCGAGTGGACCTTAAACCCCATTTCTCTCTCTCTTTATTAAAAATATCACCATTTCTGGGAAAGCTTTTGGAAAATTATACAATAAAGGAGGGTACTTACTAAGTAAAAGAACTAACTGGTGTAAAAGAATGAAAAATAGCGGTAACAACTCTGGACGGGAGATAAATGTATTTCTCACATTCCCATCTCGGTTTGGCAGATCTTAAATGTTGTTGAAAGAATATATCCGTATCATTTCTGTATCTACCCCAATTCTCTAAATGGAACTGAACATAGAAGTAAAATCCCGCAGCTGTAGGATTTTCACTAGTTAAATTCTGAAATGAGAATGAGAAAGTCACGTGACAACAGCTTAATTATTGTCAACACAAAACTTGAAGACGATTTCATAAAGTTTGCAGGGTATTCTTATACTGCTGTACTATGGAAAGGGAACGTCATGTCAAAAATCCATGATCGCTAATCTATTCGCAAATACTCAAGGAATAAGTATAACAAGTTGTGCTACAATAACAGCAACAAGGTGAGTAGCCATGGGTATCAGATAAATACAACAATGATTGTAGATATGAGCAACTAGATTGCGAGTATACAATAGCCTTAATTATTCAAATTCTCTAGAATATTTGCTAAGCATTGATATGAGTCAAAAATAAGTTGCCAGGCGACGAAACATAAGCACACAGCAGCTAAGTCGTCCGGGTGTCAACAAGGGTTGTCGCAGTCGCATATTTTTTTTTTTTTTTTTTTTTTTGTCAGAAATGAAAACATTTACAACACGATCAAACCCGATTACAAGTAACAACCCATTTGGCTTCTAGTTCTGCCCTATTCTAATATTCAGCATAGAAAACATTTAATATCAATTTTCATAATCATTGGAAATCATTGAAAATTGACAGGCTTCTTCACTTCATGGCCTTAAACACTGTGTATAAAGAGCGTCCACAAGATATTTCAAAGTGACCAAGGGCCATAACCCTAGCACTAATAATGAAAGAGAGGGCCAATTTGTTGAATACGCACAGAATGCAGCCCTTTAGAATTTGATTGTATCCTTAAGGATATGGAACCATTTTTATATTGATGACCCAAGAATAACCAACAATTTCGAGGGATGGCATTCAAAATTAAACAAAGTATCCGTAAAGCACATACTTACAGTTTTATGGAAGTACTAAAATCAGAACAGAATTACACAGGACAGATTTTACCACTTGGAAATGGTGGTTTGTCAATACCAAAGAAAAGAAAATATATTCAGTGAGATAGAAAAATATAGGAAGAAGAAAGAAGATTATTAGCTGGTGACAAGAACTTATTAGAATATGCACATGCCATTTCCTATCTAGTCGGATTTTAGATATTTTTGTTGATTTTTATAAAGTTGAATATGTAGATTTTGCCAATAAAATAATTGTTAATAAGATATAGACTAGAACCCAATTGTTCCCTCCTAAGATATCTGAGAACAATACCTGCTGGCAAAGTGGGAACAAACCCATGAGTCATCACCATCACTTAAGGTTACAATTTCATATCTTTAAGTTATATTTTTAAAATGTATTAAAATAAAGCCCTAAAATAGATGGTATCTATAAACAGTCCTACCTTGTTAAAGAATAATCCTATAATTCACTATTGCCAGTTGAGAAATTGGCAAAATATCATTTTCAACTTCAAATTCAAACGTTTGAAGATAGCTATTCCATGGTGGGGAATATAACATATGATCGTATAATAGGGAGTTGACAACCTATTGAGCAAAAGACACAGAAATAATTATGTTTTGACTTTCTTAGAAAATATGAAATTGTAACTTTAATTAGATTCAAAGTAGGCATGTCCTAAAGCATCGGCAAATCAAACTGCCTATAGCAGAAAATGCTCATCATCGAACTCCAACCAGACAATCACCTGATGAACATCTACATTAACTTTGAACGTAGTATGCAAATCAGAAATGTCAGGTTATTGTGGTCAAAAAGTTGTGACAGGCACACGAACCCATTTTAACAGTCAACCATGCACCTTTTTAAGAGACAAGGGATAATAATGTAGATTTATGCGAAATATGATACTTTACTTTTAGCAGTTGTTTTAAAGTTAAGAAATGTTTTGGTATAGTAATTTCATCAAAGTCAGCAGCCATCAAATACTGGTAACCTCCCAATCTCTGGTGACAGTCTAGTATAGTCAAAGCTTCATCGTGGGAAACCTGGGGGTAAACCCGGTTAACAAAACCTCGTTGTACCGATCCTAGTTTTAAAAATACATACAATTAGTAAAACATAGAAATATTGGACATTGTCTTATTGGACAAATAGGGCCACCGCGGTGGCTCAATGTGTAATGCACTGGCTCTCTAAACAGGCATAAAAAGTTCTCGGGGTTTTTAGGCGTGATGTCTCCTTGTCAGTGGCTCAGAGCGAGTGGCATGGCAAGAAAGGTAGCATTAAAATCAAATCTCCACTAGGCAAACATTAAATGTGGGAACCGGAGACAAAGGTCTACAATACCTAGTAGACAAACCAATCAAATAATATGAACATAAAAAAACTAACAGATATTTACCTGGCATTTTTCCAGGTAAGGAATAGGGTTGTACTTCTAATAAACCTTCATCCACATAATGTCTAAATACTGTTTTAATATCGTCACCACAAGCTAAATCGAATACTAGTATTTTATCTACACCTAACATCTTCTGCATCTCAAACCACTCAATTAATCTAGATGGCTTTAATAGATGTCCATAAGCTACTTTCGCACAGATAGCTAGACCTTGCTTCACTTGCTTTTGATGTTTAATAGGTAAATAATCCACTGCATTATCACTACAGGCGGCTGCGGTTAGACTTATATTTACATATTTAACTCCCTCGCCAGTTTGTTGAACGTTACACACGTATTGAGTGGCATCATAGTCGGCTTGATAAAATAGCTGTGTAATTGCAGGAAGAAACTGACGATGGGCATGTTTATGATAAAATTCAGCAGGAGTTGTTAGCATAGATCCATCGGATCGTGAAACACAACATACAAATTTACCATATCCTCTCGTACCATCCAATCCTGATAAAACGATGTTTAACTGATTAGGAGATTCTGTGTCAGGACCTGCTATAGCTGATAGAAAGTAACTATCTTCTCCACGAACCTTAATGAAATATTTATGTTCCGTTCTCGGGTTTTCATTTGTTTTCGAATTCCAATTCCATTCCGTTGTAATGTTAGCAAAGTATGGTTGTTTCTGAAATCAAACGCCAGTTTTAAATGTTAACAACCTGCTTCTAATCAAGAAGACATCATAAATTGAACACGCTCTAACATGGCGGTCAACTGAGCAATGGTTGATTCGCTACAACACAGCATAATTCAACAAAAATCATTTTCCAGTAACATATTCATGCTAAAGGAGACACATTTTATCTTTTTATGTATTTAACTACCGTAAACATAAAAGTACTTGTAATTTATCGACTTTAATCCATATTATACTGTTTACGAAGGCGCATCCGGCTAAAGGAGGGGATCACGGTGGTTAAAGTGGGTAAGACGCTGGCTCGCTAGCCGGGAGGTCGGGTGTTCGATCCCTGCATTGGCCGAGAAAGTTCATCCAGATATTTAACTTGCATACGCTTTTAAAAATCAGATTTTTTGTGCAGACGGGTAAAGTGAAAAATTAAAATTTAAATTATATAGTGATTTGGAAGATAAAACCTTTTTGCCTTCTAGCCGGCAAAATAAATGCCTGAAATTCCATTATTTTTTTGTCTGAAGCCATTCCGGATTGGGTCATCAATCATTAATTGTATCATCAATTTTTCGAAAATAGAAATTTCTTTAAATTGACTAATATATAAAACATTTAAAATCAGTGTAACTTAAAATCAGTGTAATTTAAAGGAGATAAATGGCTAATATTTGGCACCTAGAAATTGACACAAATGGGTCGTAACGCATATAATAATGTAATATGAATGTATATAAATTGATTTACATTCAATCGTTTCCCTTTTTTACTCTAATTTCAAGTCAGTTATGTTCGGCGAAATAATCCAAAGGTCTCAATCGAATGGCAGTCACTAGCATCTGGTTATTCCAGTCTATGCGGCTGTACGGGCAACATTTACCTCACAGCCCATTACATTACGTATGCCTGTATTCATTAGCCAAGTCATTGTAGTAACTTAGGACTTGGGCACTAAATCAAATATTTTGTTAATATTTATTATGTATCTTTTATTTTTTCTGTTTTAATATAAGCAAATACATTATAATATATTTAGTGACTACTTAAAACTGTGTGTTTTTCAGCTTGTTTTAAAAATAATTCAGAAAGACAGGAATTTCTACCAATTTTGATAACGACCCATATACAGTATCCAAATACCGCCAATAACTGTCGATAGGGTTCACCCTCTACTATAAAACAATTCAAATGATAACAAGATGACTAGTCATCACCATCCCGCGCCCTTGCACTTGTTTGGAAGGCATACTTCTTGGAATATCAATAGGACTAGTCAGAAGATCCAGGGTCGCTACTCCGTGTAAGGTTTGCACAACAACCTTTGTCTACTTAAATCAGCTGCTGTATGTTAAACATTAAGCTTATAATAAAATAAAACCAAGTACGAACAATCCAAACCATTAGACAAAATTCGAAGTCCTAAAAAAACGGTATAGGCAAAATAGTGTAATAAAGCAAAATAGTGTAATCAGCAAATGGACTGTTCACCGTGTACAAAATACACGACAAACAGTGGTAACAGGTGTCCGGAAGAGTAAGCTTACCCTGCCAGGCGCCACACCCGCCATAGCTGCATCCAAACTATTAGGCGAAATCTCGGTATAAATCAGAAATTAAAATACTATACTAGGTTGATGTTTGTACAAAGTTTCAAAAAGATTTCTTGAACAGATAATGAAATATGGTCTGGAAACGAAATCGGGACGGAAGGACGGACATCAGAAAATAAAATAATAGATTGATGGATTTAAAAGTGTTATAAAGGTATCTTGAGCAGTTTCTTATGTGCTCTAGAATAATAATAATATACCAAAAAAAGTCAAATGTGTTGTGGTAAGAACTCAAAACTCATTCGAAGGAAACACAAAATGAATAAATTCGAGGAATTTCTAGTTAGCAAAGGGCACAACTACTACCACAGGTTGACTTTTGTACAAAGTTTCATGAAGATATCTTGAACAGTTTATGAGATATGCTCTTGAATAAAAATGTGTACCAAAAAGTCAACTTTGTTTCCATGGAGACACACAAACTAAATCCATGAAATTCCTAAATAGCAAAAGGCACAACTACTGTTTATGAGATAAGCCCCGAAAACGAAATCGGGACGGACGGGCGGACCCTATTTCAATATCCCTCCCAAATTCGTTCGGCGCGGGATAATAATCAAGAGTAGGCGTCAACTGCTGAAGTCAAGATTATTTAAAATCAGAAGCCCTCTTAATGATATCAGTTATATCAAGATTGTTTTGCACAGAAACAGCATTACGTCTATTGGTGTAAGAAGGAAATACAAACCTGGACTATATAATAAATAAAGAGTTCACATAGCGAAATTGTTTTTATACTTTTGTATTTGTAATGTCAGTTTCGCTATTTTGAAAACCACCACAAGATTAGAGGTAATTTAAAAGAGCTAAATCGCTAACACAACATTTTCCTTAATATTCGAATTTAAAAACACGAATTAGAATTAAGCATTCGTCCATTTCAGTCAGTACTGATGTTGTTACATGGGATCCTAATATCCAATATGGTTTTTGACTCCATGTGTAATGAACAAAGACAATGCGAAAGTAATTAGCAATGGCTGATTCACAAACGACTATGCAGACTTGAACGACTGCCGTTCAATTTGGACTCTGAATGTATTTCGCCGAAAATAATTAGAAATTTTACTATATCTTTTTTTTTTAAATTTAATATAAATCACTTTATATACATGTATATCCATATTACATTAACATCTGCATAAGATTCATTTTGGTCCATCTTAAGGTTCCAACGAATACAGCCATACACCTTTAAAGACTACATATGTAACATACAATTTATATATTTTTCCCTTTGATAAATTTAAAACTGAACATACTAGTGTAACAGGAGGAACATGAAATCAAATTTCATTGACCAATTTTACCAGATGTAAATGTTTTATTTATTTCATACCCCTCTACCTTTTTTATACTTGTCAATATATAAATTTTAATATGATACATACATGTATACTTTTTACTTGCAAACTATCAGGGGATTTTAAACCCCTTTATTTATTATTATCTGGTAATTATATAAGATTAATAAAAGGGTATATATTATCATTTTAGCTCCAGATTACATAACTATCTATTGACATACACTTGATCTAGTTAAAGTTGCGTCTATGCATTTGTAAGGCGGAATAAGAAATGTATTATATACTTAAACACCGTTCGTTGTATTTTTAACTGATATTAGTTATAATCTAATGTCAAGGTATTCTATTTTTCTACTAGTAAGTATGTCTAGAATTGTATTGCTGATGTATAATTATATACATATTATAACACAAGAAGAGGCAAATTTGTATCATAATATATAAGTAAAGGTGTTTGACCTTTTTGTGAAAACATTAATGCGTATTCATCCGTGAACACAGATGTACTTGTACTTAATCTTCATATCAAGTGAACTCGTTCAAAAGCATTTATAAATACATACCCATATTGTGACGAACTGAGCCGTAACAAAGAAAACTAAGTTTAAAATTCCCAATAGAACCAACACCTTTTTATACCGCCGTCGATACCTTGGAAATTTTGTCATGTTTGTTTTCTGCTCATCTGTAATGGAAAAATGATATCTATTTATGATGACATTACTTAAGGTTCTAGCTAATGGCTTTCGTTAAAATCCAAAATTCCAACTTGTAATTCTAGTATCGATAACCCCAGTCCTACTAATCACTAACAAGAACTGGCAAAAGCGGAGGGGGGGGGGTGAATAAATTTCGAAATATTGCAAAAAGTGACCAGCAAGGGAAAATATATATAATACAATATAAATAATTAAAAATATGAAATCTGTAAGTTCTTTACTTAAAGTTTCATGTGGTACTCCACACTCATCAGAAGAAAAATACAAATGAAGTTTGATTACACGAGGCATGGTAACGGTTGACTGGCGTGACAACGGTAGACTGGCGTGACGTCAACAGTATACAACAAAACATAAATTATTTAGGAAAGATATTACCGAATTATAAAGACACCATATCCAAAATTTAAAAGATTTCATCAAAAAGTAACAAAATTATGGATAAGTGAAATTGACCATAAAAAAGCTCATGTCGATCCTTGGCAAAAATTTCAATTATGCATAATTGTTTTAGTTTTGTATTAAATCATTTAAATTTTGGATACAACGTCTTGACTATGCTACGTGGTCCCATGGGTTTTTAACTCCTGATTTTCACCCCATGTGCCCACGTTCATTGTGAAGTAAAGTTTGGTCTCCATGGGGTGATGTTGAATATCTTGTGTCTAAAATATTCAGCCTACAATCAAGCCAAACATCACATTATCAGAGCCATTTATGTCGCCAGCAAATTCATGGGTCAAGAGTAAGTTTTCATTGCATCTCAGTATGTGAATATGGCCGAATCATTATCGATATATTTGAAGATAATTCATATCGTGAGGCACGCTATTAACCACCAGATAAATAGGTACGTGTTCAAAATCAAACCTGACCTACATCATAATTCTATGTCAATAATTTGATTGTGCGTATGATTCTTTACCTGAGGAATGAAACCGAAGGTCCCGGAGAGAGTCCATGGGGTTAGGCCACTCGACACACACCCCACTCCCCGCTTCCCACCAATTCAACTTTCACATTAATGTACTGATGATATCAACTTTAGAAATTCAACTTTAACAATATCTACTGATATTCCTTTTAGAAATTTAACTTTCACAATAATCTACTGATATTCATTTTAGAAATTTCAACTTTCACAATAATGTAATCTCCAGATCCTTAAAATGATAATCAGCTACTTTAGTATCAAATAAGTAATAAACCCTAAATTAGAAGATAAATATATACAACATACACTATATGCCACTCAATATTCCTCGAGACATTCCTGGAGCATTTTATCAACAATAGTTCAAGACGTTTTCATACTGTCAGTCGACCAGCACACCCCTTCGATACAATTCAATGGAAAATTATACGAAACGCTGTTTTCTATTTCCCGAGCACCCGGTTTAATGTGTATACCACGAACATTCATTGAAAGCTATTGTAAATAAAAACGGACATTTTGTTTTTCTGCTAGTGATGAAAATAATAACCTATATTTTATAAAGATGTATAATTTGATCATGCGTAAAGGGATAGTAGCCACATAATGACATCGCTACAATGGGTTTGGTTTTGCTACAGTAAGACATTAAACCCCCAGTCGGCAAACCTCAGCAGATTCCCGTACCCTACATCTAGCGTTTGATTCGTAGAATCCGCCAAGGTTTGCCGAATGATGTGTGCACTACCAGAAATTGTCAAACCTCGACATTATAACGATGTGCAAGAGTAATTCAAGTTTATATTCTCATTTATCGCGCAAATTGAACATGTAGGACTAAACATTCTAAAATAAACGTCTAACAGTACCTGTGGCATATAATATATATATATATACTTACAGGTAGGTTTATCCATGTAGACCTACCTGTAATTAAATAATTAGCTCACAAGAGACAATCTGGTGACTAGATAGATGCAGCTAAGAAGTCACGTGACCTGAAATGGGCGTTTACATTACGTGACGTTCTCGATGAACCGTTAAGTTTCATTTGCCTTCGTGTTTATTGTTTATTTCTTCATCTTGGGTGTAATTTGACTTCATTTATTTAACTACTGTATACTATTACATATGCCGGTATATCAGATTCAAAATTCTAACATGCTATCGTCTGATTTCTAACTTCTATTCATGTAATTTCTAACATCTATTCATGTAATTTTAACTTCTATTCTGTTATATTCTAGTATAGTAAGAGTCGTGTGAGAACTGATCAATACGGCTAAAGGGAGATAACACCATTTTACTTTAGTAGGTTAACTTCAAAAATACGAAACTTGTATTTTAATTGAGAACTAGCGTTGTCTGGTGACTGGGCCGCCATGTGCTTGGCACTGTTGTAAAATGTCTGTTGAATAAAATGTAATAGAAGATGATTAAAAGTTGTTTGTTGGACAAGATAAGACATTGAACAAGAAGATAAAACCCTACCCCCCAACATGGTGGAGATGTCAAAATGCCAATTTGTAAGTAGAAGTAGGCCTAATGGACCCAGAGGAAACTTTGATTTATTTTCACGAAGATGAGCAGCCATTTCCAACCATGTTTCCTCAGCATGGCCGACCACCCGCCACATCAACGCCGGGTCCAGCATCTTTTCCACAACAACAACCTGCACCACCGTCTGTAACGACAGTCCCTTTTCAACATCAACAATCTGAACCTCCAACTACAGGTATGTCGGCGGGTTCGTTGAAGAAAATTATCAAAGACTTTAGTGGCTATGTGCATGATGATTCTAGAAGATTTTTGTCAGAGCTATTATCTTATTTCTTACTGTCGAATATCCAGACTGACAGTCCGAGAGCCGTTGCAGCTTTTCATCTTCATTTGGATGGCCCTGCGAAAATCTGGTACGACGCTTTGCCAGTCACACATAAAACCAGTTTTGCGACAATCAGACAGCATTTTGAAAAGGAGTACTGCAACAACCAGCCATCAGTTCTTGCAGAAGAGGCAGTTTATGATAATTTGATGCTTTATCCAGGCCAGATGCTTGAAGAGTACCATTCATTGATCTTACAGAAAGGCACCAGACTGAATAAGCCTGAGAGGGAAATGACTTTAAAATTTATTAAGGCCCTTCCATCACAGCTAGCATTTTTTGTCCGAACACAGGCCGGTCAAGACTGCACATTCCGAGGTGCACTTCACTCTGCTAAAATTGGTGAAGCGCATGGTTATAGAGCTCCAACTACACCCAGTGTCATGGCTGCAGCAGCACAGATGGATTCGAGTAACACTGCATCACACCCACCTACCTATGGTGGAGGCAACAACTCTGCACGTAGACCCAACCGCCCACAATCCCGTCGTTGTTATAAATGTTCAGCCTGTGACCACTTCCAGTCTAGATGTAACTGGAATGGTGTTGATGTGCCTGACCCAAATGTTAAATGCCAGTTATGCTACTATTATGGCCACGTAGCCAAGAACTGTTTAACTCTTCCTAGTCGAAAAAAATCATTGCTCAAGTGTCAACTATGCGGTGAAAGTCATTCTGCAAATAAGTGTCCTCAATTAAACTAAAGGCGCCTTAACCTAATGCGCCACCCTCAGGCGGTACAGACGATAAAAAGTGCGCAGCAGCGTGTGAAGATGCTATGTTGTTTGATAAAAACTTTATGTTCTTACAAGTTGTCATTGGCTTACTTACAATTTCTGCATTTTTAGACTCTGGAAGCTCCATTAATGTTATGTCAAAAGATTTTTATTTGAGTTTACCTCAGTGGGTTATCCTTAAATTTTCACCTAGTAATGAAACTGTTTTATTAGCCAATGATCAGCCTATTTCAATTTATGGGACTGCTACTGTTAATATATCTGTTAAAGGTTCAACAATTGACACTATATCTGTTTATATTTTTGAACATGCTACACACCCTTTAATATTAGGCACAGGGTATATGAGACACAATGATATCACTATTGATTTTAGAGCAGCTAGTCAGTTCACTGGTGTTAAGTCAAAGGTTAAAGTTAAGAGTAATGTTACTTGTTTTATTCAGCCTAATTCTGAGTGTGTTATACAGGGTAAATTATGTAAAGGTATACAGATTGGAATGCAAGGTGTCTGCACGGGTCATAGCGAATTGTTAGCTAAAGGTGTATTTGTTGCCAGATCCGTTGTACCTATAAAAATACTTAACCCTGGCAATGAGGTCGTTCACATCACTAAGGGTACAATTCTTGCAAACTTTAAACTTGTCGATAATTCATTCGATATTTTCTCATGTTCGAATATCCAGCAGCAGACAGATTGTAAGTCAATCAGTACACCTCATACCCAAATATCTGATAAAATACTTGATAACAATAAGTTAAATAAGTTGAATTTTAACAATAATCATGATTTGTCTCAGCAAGAAAGTGAACAACTTTTGTCATGTTTGTCTGACTTTCGAGACATCTTTGTGACAGATGAAAATCCTGGACTTGGTCTTACTAATCTTGTTCAGCATAAAATTCAGTTAAAGTCAGATTTTGTGTCTAAACATCAACGCCCCTATAGGTTACCTCCAGATAAAAAAGAGGTATTAAGACATCAATTAGATAAATTATTAGAGCAAGGTATTATTGTTCCTGTATCTGAAACTGAGGAAGTACCGATTACTAGTCCTATTGTGCTAGTTGCTAAGCGTAACAAACCCAAAGTCGACCCAAATAATGTTACAAAAGCGGCAAGCTTATCCTCATATCGATTTGGTTGTGATTTTCGTTATTTGAATAGTCAAACTAAAGATTTTAGATATACAATTCCTGATTTACGCCCAATTATATCACATCACTCGATTTATCTTCTGGATTTTTCCAGTTGCCGATTTCGGAAGAGTCTACTAAGTACACAGCCTTTAATACTTGTTACGGTACTTTTAAATTTCTTAGACTTCCAATGGGTCTAAGAACAGCGCCTAATTCATTTCAACTTTTGATGGACAAAGTCCTAACTGGTCTTACTTTTATGTCAGTATT